AAAAAAAAAATCAATTAACTTTTTTTTTTTTTCAGTGGCCCTAATCCTCTTCCGTATAAAGCTAACAAAATAAAAGAAGCTAAAATACAAGCCACGGTATTTAAAAGGAAGACCATGCATTTCCTACTAATTCACCTCTGTGCACTATAACGTGTTACCTTTTGTGTAAAATCTTGCTGAAATACATCAAAGTCCTTGGTTTAATATTAGGATAAAAAAAGTTCAAACCAGGGAAATGTATGTTTTTGCATATTTTTAAATTTTTCTTTTTAGAAAAAAGCTCTGAAAAGCTTTCAGTTCCACAGAATTTCAGTAGTTAGACAAAAAAAAAAAGGGATGAATTTAGTCAGGAATTCATTTTTTAAAGTCAAATCCAGGTTTTAAGACCCAGGTCTGTCTCCCCCCCACTCCTCGGTGATGCATTGATGGGGTAGGGGGTGGGGTTAGAGGTTGGGAGTGATGAGTGAGGAAGGGGAAGGGTGTTGAGCTGCAGAAGGTTCAGAAGCATCCAGAAAAATCCTTTCATAAAGTAAAAAAAATTAAGAATAAATGTAAACTTCTGATAGAAAACTCTGCCTAAAATTTCAAATTATTCAAAAACCAGGTAGATTACCTAAGAATAACAAAATAATATGACAAAAATCAAGTCACCAAGTCACAACTTCCTGTTTGTTTTTTTAGAGATATAAAGGAATATATAATGGAGGCCCATTCGGTTCAAATAGACTGCTGAGAGCATCTTTATCCTGGAGACTGAATATAAAATATGCATCACATTCAGGGTGGATTAAAAACACGGATTCAAACTACTACCGAGATGTCCTAATGAAAATGATCATCCAGCCTCTCCAACTATATTTATAAAGCAGCGGTGAGGAGTTGGACGAAGGTCTCAGTGCTCCACTTTGTCCTGCTATGGTATGGAAAACTAAAGCTTCAGAAATCAGATCATAGCTGCTCCACAGCCTGATGACTTTATAACCGGAGCATGACTTTGTTTAGTCCCACAGTCAACAGATGCAACAGCTGCTCTTCTGTTTATTTTCCAACAAAGCAGCTGCTTTACTGCTGGCTTCAGAACTAAAACCGACCTCATGCCACCTGTAAACAGTTTGGTAACCAAATCAACCAGAATAACACTTTTCTATGTTTTTCTACTTAATTCCCAGGGGCTCTCTTTTATTATTACATCTCTATTACCTTCACTACCACACAGTGAAACTAGAAAACCAGCACAGTCAGCAGTGTTCCTTAACAACCATGATGGTTTTATTTTCTTAATAATTACGGCATTTACAAAAGCAGCCAAAGTGCACAATCAAAGGGCTAAATCAGACTTTAAAAGCTTGATGAGGGCTCTGTGGGTAGAAATGTATCAGGGCTGTAATACAGCTGGTCTCTGGCTCCACAGTTGAGTCCAAACATAACTTTCCTCCTAAAACAAAACAAGTTTGACAAACTCTACAACAGGACCTGAACTGTGATCGGAAGAACTGCGATTTTGTTCTTGAATCGACTTCTAACAAGGTTCCATGTTGTGCTCAGGCTTCGTCTCACAGCTTTATTCTGGTGAATAGAACGTTTAGGTGCTGAAAAGCTGTGGTTAGCATTTACTAACAAGGCTGCCTGATCAGCTCCTACTGTTTGGATATTAGAAGGAGGACCAAACTTCTGCAAAAATTAGGAAGAGACAAAAATAGAAGATGTTTTTTTGTTTTTTTGCAGAACCTTTAGTTGCTAAACTTTTTTATTGACTCAGAGAAATCAAATGAAGATCAACAGAGTCTGGAGATTTTAAAATGTTCGAAAACTGCTTAACTGTGGAAATTTACAATGATTGCACTGATCTTGGTTGATTCTAAAGTCCAACTAATGGCAGAAGACATCAAAATGTCCCCATTGTGGGACAATAAAAGGGATTTTCTATTGTATTCTATGATTGATGAATGGATGGATGAATTGCTAGAAAGACCAATTAATGGACGGACATAAAATGATACAGGGGTATAAAATCTGTGTCACTTATTCAGGTCTAAAAAAAAACTTAAATCCCCTGGTTTACTTTAGCAGACAGCACAGGAATATTTGCTGGCGATAAAATCTTAAAGTCATCGATTCCCACTTTCTATCCCAAATCTCATTGCAGCAGATGTCCATGAAGCCAAAGTTTATGGGGAGTGTGGGAAGAAACATGATTTATGACGATATTCAACAAGAGTCATGATCAGATTCCGATCCAACATCCTGCAGCTTTAAACATCTACCCCTAATATTCCATGTTCTGACGATGGTCAAATTTAAAATTCTCTCTTCTCTCTATACAAACAAACTGTTTGTTGTTTTTCCTTTCAACAAACAGCAAACCTAAAGACAACACTGGAGAAAAAGCTTTATATCCCACCTATAAAGAAAGGTTTTCACTAATCTGGAACGTTTTGGCTAGATGTATGTCTGCTGTTTGCAATCTTAGCTGCAGATATTCGAAAACCAACAGGAAGAAAAAATGACTGTGACTTGACTGATACAGAAAAAAACATATATATATATATATAAATAAAATGAAAGGTAAGTAAAGGTAAAAGAGAAGAGCAAAGAAATAAAGCGTTACACACAAAGAGCCAAGCAGGGCGTACTCAGAAAGCGCGTCCTCCTGCCGCCCGGCTTAAAGGCCACACGCTCCGAACCCCAGCTGAACTTTACACAGCCTGGAGAGAGGGAGGGTGGTAGATGCAGAAAGAGGAAAGAGACAGAGATGAAGGAAAAACAAGAGAAGATAGATGAGGGAGTTGACGAATCTATAGAAAGTGTGTTAGAGCGAGTCACCATCACAGTGTTTACACAGAGAGAGGCTAACCCAGTCAGAACTTTTTGTCTGATCAGAGAGCCGCTGGTATAAATGACCCTATAGAGGTCTGTAGCTGCCTGCAGGTCTCAGTGACAAGCTTACCCGGGGTCGGAGCACACAAGCTGGGGATAGACAGCCCTGCCTCGCTGGTGTAGGCTGAACACAGGTTGTCACTGGAGGGACACTGTTTGAGTGGCTGGAGGGCAGTGCTGCTGCCCGAATCGGCCAAACCTCCGGGGGCTAACAGGGGCAGCTGGCCTGGGTACCCGGCTGGGACGCTCTGGGCTGATAAAGTGCTGCCTGGAGATCGCAGAAAGCATCGGCGCGACGCACACGAAGAAAGCAGACGTGAATAAACAACAAAGAACAGACAGAGAGACAAATCAGCCGAGGAGAGACACGCCCACAGACGGAGACAAGAACACAGAGAGAAACAGGCGAGAGGAGCAGTCAGAGATGTTCCAGCTTGGAGCCTTGATTCGGTGAACGCCCGCATGCACAAGTGACAAAACAAATGAACACACAACAAATATGTGCACATGGATGCATGAACATAGAAAAGGTGTGACAACAGGGTTAAGGTTTATGAATGTGTTTATAGTGAAGTTATGGTTCAGGTTTAATCGTATGGAACTTGTGTGGGATGATTGGTGCAGAAACACACAACTTTTAAAAGCATTAAACCCAAATTTACTTCTGTTTTAATACAATAATTTAGTCAGGTGACCCAAACCGTAAAGTTTTTCAGCATTTAGTCATATTACAAACTCAGATTTCAGTGAATTCTGTTGGGATTTATTAACAGAACTGAAAAGTAAGCAGCATTATTGAAATATTTACTTAAGTCTGGAGTTTTACCTTTTAGCAGAGCAGAGCTACATATAGAGGGAAAGCTACAATGGAGGGGTTTGGATCAGGTGTCTTCCTTCCTCCCTCCATCCATCCTATCCCTCCCAATAAAAATATGTTTTTTAGGTATGAAGTAAAGGTGAATGCTGATCCCTCCAGTTCATAGGTCAGTATTGGTAGCCCTTCCTCGGACTCGTTTCCCATGAAGTGGCCCTTGGCCTTAAAAAGGTTGGTGACTCCAGGTTTAGATCAAAGTGCAATCCTATAGGAGTTCAACTGTTTGCCAAATTGCTGTTTATTGATGTTTTTTATTCTATCTGTTTGTACAAAGAAGATTTCAGTCTACAACATTTTGACCTTAAGGGAATAAATATTGAGATTTTTATTTGCATAAGTTTAGTTTAACAACTAAGCTCAACTTTGGTTAAATATAATCCCAATATAAATACACTGAAATCAGTTTATTTTATGATGAAATGTTAAAAAGCTCAAAGTGCATAAACCGTTTAGGAAGACATGGGGCTCATTTCAGAAAGAAGGATAAAAGAGAATTCTGGGTAAATCCCTGCACACCCAGAATTTAAGGTTGCAGGGTCGGATAGCCGCTATCCTGAGTCAATTTTATATCCAAGTTACTCCAAAAATCAGCTCTGTAGATGTTAGAGAACAAATGCTCATTATGCTCCATCATATCAGGTGCATTTTTAACACAGATTTAAAGATTTCAGAATATCATTGTTTCTGTCGGAGTCAATCTATCCCAATATAGTGTCAGATCGCTACTTTAAAACAAAGAAAAGTTCTTAGTGCTGCACTTTTGAAATTGAAGGGGTTTAAGTTTAAGCGAAAAGCGAAAGCGAATATGTGCCAGAACCTCAGGGTCAATCTGCACTGTTCCAAAAAGAACGAGCACATCCATATTTTGTAAATAAAGACTAACTATACTTTCCTCCAGCCTTTCCTAACAAATAGACACATATATTAAAACATCTGTGCTGACTTATTAAAGGTGTAAAGGACAAAATTTCTGGGGTGAAAATCTTCTACAATGTCATCACTTACCTACTTTTACCAAAAAAATTTCTGCATAAAAAAATATATTTCCATGTACTAATATCTACATTAAATAGGTTTTTAGTTATGATTAAAGTGGTTATTTATCTATGATTTCACTGAAGACATAATTTTCTCTTTACCTCATATAACACAAAAATATACGGTAGTTCTGAAAAGAGCATGAATTCTGTATATATCAACTTTAATGTTACTATTTTGATGTGCATAAACACAGCATTTTAGTTGTTGGGTAATTTATGAAAAATTCAAATGTTTATTAAGTTTGAGCATTCGCCTTGAGAATATTACTGCTGCCACCGTGGGCGAAAAAAATGGTAGGGGTGGCCACAGGGTTGGCCACTGATTGGCTGAGGGTGGCCATGGCCACTCCTGGCCCTCCATCTAGCTCCGCCCCTGCTTTTCTTGTAAATACACCTCACACCCCTATTTCACAGGGAGGGACAGAAAAAATATCAAATCAATTGCGTATCTTCTCTTACACTACAGTTTAACGTTATACATATTAATCATAATCATGGAATAAAACTGACAAAGGACGTTTAATTTAGTATTTAGTTAACTAAACATAATGACTAGACCGTACATGATTTAACTGCCTTTCTATATCATGTCGATTTACTGCTACGTCCTTTTCATGTCTGCTGGTTTGCACCTAAATCCATCTTTCACACGGACACAAATTGAGGATAAAACCTTTAGTTCTCTAACAAATCCAAATTATGGATTAACGCGTCCCTGCCATGTTAAATCTCTGTATTTTGCAGCAGAAACAGCATTGCCTTTTTCTCTTAAATGCGTTTGTTATGTCTGTATGGCATCTTTAGAGGCAATAAATGGAAATGGCGAGGCTTCTTATTTCCTCCTGTTGTCATTGTTCTGCTTCTCATTAAGGGCTTCTATTTATGCTGGTGCTTATGCTGACGTATGGGCCAACTTAACTCAGACTCAAGTTAGCTGACTGATATCACCTGAAATTCTTGAATATCACAGATTTGAATAAGTTGACTCAGGATAACTGCTGCCTACTCAGAACAGTTTAACCTCGCTTTCTGAAAAAGGTGAAAGATGCTAATAAACATAAATATCTGAATGATTAGCAGAATGTCAAACTGTGATGCCCAGCCCTACCTGGCTGTAAAGGGCTCTTGCTGCCATGGGTGGAGCTGCTTCTGGACGATTTGGAGGATTTACTTTTGGTGGGACGCCGCCTCCTGCCAGTCAAAGCAATGAGGGGTGGGATCACAGCAGCTGGAGGGACCTATAACCAGATCCAGAGGATGAGAGGTTATCTACCACTATTCTGGCTGATTTAAAGCGGTTTGCGTTAAAAGGACTAGAATAGATCACCTTTCCCAGCCTTGTAAACAAACGCTCAATTTCCTCTTTCTGGCGAGAGTGGAGGGCCTGAATTTCATGTATGTGCCTGTCGGGAAAAAAACGAAATATTTATACCGTAATGTAAAAAGGAACATGAAACACAGGTTCAGAAAAATGCCAGCTGGACCAGGACAACCGGAGGTTTAATTTACTTTTCTCTGAGGCGACTGACTTCCCGCTTGAAATCTTCATCCTCAAATTCTGAGTCGTTGTCACTGCTCATGTAGGAATTGTTAAAGGAGTTGTTGTTTAGGCTCGGCAGGGAGGCTTTATGAGGCGAGTCTGGAGAGGGAACCTGTCCAGGATCACTGGGTCCATTAGCAGCCGGAGCAGCAGGTGGAGGGCTCTGCTTGGGCTCCTGAGCGCGACTGACAGAGAACCGTCCAACACGGCTTTCAGGGTTGGTGGTAACCTGAATTCAAAGAAGGTATGTGATGAAAATACATGAATGAACGGGGTATTATAGTGCAATAAGAGGAGAGAGAACAGACCTGGAAACGCCCAATGGTGGTGGTGGGTTTGGGTGAGTGGCCTTGGGTGGGGGAAGGGGAGACGGGGTGGGATCCCGTCGGAGTCTTCTGAGGGAGTCCGTCCACAACATCCCCACCTTTAACTCCTTTTCCTCTTAGACGGGGCGAGAAGTCTTTGTGCAAAGTGTTCTCCGGGCTGGAGAGGCTGGAGGATGACGAGGAGGATGAGGTGGAGGAGGAGGTGGAGGAAGACTCAGTGCAGGACGGGCGCTGAACAGCGGGCTCTTCTGCAGCCCGTGACACCTGAACAGACAAGACAGACGATGAAAGCTCAAATAGTTTCCTTTACTTTATTGAACTTTGTCTAATTTATGAAGGCATTTTATTCCCAATGATTTCAGAATGCCAAACAGAATATATTTCTATCTTTAACAAAACCGTAACACACAGCCACATTTCCACATATTAACCTGAGGCAATCACTAAATGTGAACTCATCATTTAAGGTAAAAACATTACCTGAAACCTTCCTAATTTAATCCCCCCTGCAGGAGGAGGGGCTTTTTCTTCTTCCAGGGAGAAGGGAACTGCAAAAAATGTGAATATTTAAGATTAACAACACATTATAGCAAGAAATTATTGTATATATATATATATATATATGTTCTGTTAATATGTTTTACATACTTGGTTGTCCAATTGGAGGAGTACTGCTGTGAGAGACCTACAGTATTGGATGAGAGAGATCAGGTTGAGTAGCTGGACCAGCATCAGTCTAAGCTACTAGAATGAAGATCTGTTTACGTGTGTGTGTGAACTCACAGGGACAGTTTCTGGACTTAATGCTCTCCTTAGCTGGGCGTCCAGGTCCTCTAGAGGCTGCTGGGACTGAAGGAGTCGGTAAACATTTTATTAGACATTTATGCACTAAAAGAGCAGCAACAATGCAGGATGGCTTCAGTTTAAGTTTTTATATGAAGGCCGAGTCAACATAAACATGGATATAGTTAAAATGGCAATTTTAGGTCCCAACATGCTGCCTGCAGTTTAAGAACAAAAAGATAAGAGAAAATGATAAGGATTCTTTTAAAAAGCTATTGTTTAACCATCAGCATGACTGTTTAAATGCATTGCTAAAACAAATTAAATCCTTTGTATAAAAGTGTACTATAAAAATATTTTTAGAAAAATACCAAGATTAGTTCGCTGCTCAAAAAATAAAAGGGAACACTCAAATAACACAGCCTAGATCTGAATGAAGCAAATATGTCATGAATACTTTGTTTTGTACATAGTTGAATGGGTTGACAACAGAATTATACTAAAATAATCAATTGAAATAAAATGTATTAACCAATGGAGGCCTGGATGTGGAGTCACACACAAAATTGAAGTGGAAAAACTCACTCCAGGCTGACCTAACTTTGATGTGATGTCTTTAAAACTGCTCAAAATGAGGCTCAGTATTGTTACTGGCCTCCTTGTGCGTGTATGACCTCCTTGAAACACCTGGGCATACTCCAGATGAGTTAGCGGACGGTCTCCAGAGGGATCCCCTCCCAGACCTGGACTAAAGCATCAGCCAACTCCTGGACAGTCTGTGGTGAAACGTGACATTGGTGGATGGAGCGAGAAATAATGTCCAAGATGAGCTAAATCAGACTCAGGTCTGGGGAACAGACGGGCCAGTCCATAGCTTCATTGTTTCCATCCTGCAGGAACTGCTGACACACATTTCAACCACATGAGGCACCAGCATTTAGTCTGAGGATCTCATCTCGGTACCTAATGGCAATCATGCTACCTCTAGCAGCGAATGAAGGGCTGTGGGCCCTCCAAAGCTATGCCAACGCACACCATTACTGATCCACTGCCAGAACGGTCATGTTGAAGGATGTTGGAGGTAGCAGATCTCTCTACATGGTGTCTCCAGACACATGTGCTCACTGTGAACCTGCTTTCAGCTGTGAAGAGGATCCCAGTGGCGAATCTGCCAATCCTGTTGTTCTCTGGCAAATGCCATGTTGAACTGTGAGTACAACCTCATCTGTGGACGTCTGGCCCTCATACCATCCTCATGGAGTTTGTTTTTAACTGTTTGTGCAGAAACATGCCTATTTGTGGCCTGATGGAGGTCATTTTGCAGGGCTCTGTCAGTGCTCCTCCTGTTCCTCCTTGCACAAAGGCGGAGGTAGCGGTCCTGCTGCTGAGTTGTTGCTTTCCTATGGCCTCCTCATGTCACGTGGTGCACTGACCTGTCTCCTGGTAACACCTTTTAGCCGCTGTACACTACGCTGGCAGACAGCAAATCTTCTTGCCACAGCTCGCCCTGATGTGCCATCCTGGATGAGCTGCACTACCTGAGCTACTTGTGTGGGTTGTAGGGTCTGCCTCATGCTATGATGAGTTTGAAAGCATCACCAATATTCAAAAGTGACCAAAACATAAACCATAAGGAAGCATAGATATTGAAATGTGGTCTATGGTCTCCAATTGAAGAACGACTGCTTTAATGAGTGTGTCTTGCTAATTGCCAATAACTTCCTCCTGTTGTCTATTCTATTTGCACAACAGCATGTGAAGTTGATCAATCAGTGTTACTTCCAAAGTATAAAGGTTGTTTTCACAGAAGTTGGATTTGACGTTATGTGTTTTTTTTTAAATGTTCCCTTCATTTTTTGAGCAGTGTATATTTATAACCCCTGCTGTCGTTGGGTAACATGAGTATAAAACCAATGCTCTTCTTTAAAAGACAAGTTTCTTAGTCAAAGGAAACTCCTCTCAATTGGTTACAACTAATTTTAAAAGCATGTTTAAAAAGAGATATAATTAAGTACGGTCATGGTAGAAATTATTAAACCGCCTTTGTTTTTCTTTAATTTCTTCATTTAAAGCTTAATTACATAAAAAATAAGACAAAAGCAAAAGAAAACAAGTAATTTAATGAGTTATTTTCAGTCTGATTAAAAATATTTTCATTTTCCTTTCCTATTTATATTTTACTGAATTTTTTGTATTTATAAGTCAAATATGTTGATTGTTGTTAAAATTATTAAAATCATCATAAACATGATTTCAAGCAACATTATAACTAAAAATTATATTTTCATTAGCCTAAACTAGAAGGTAAAGATGAAAAAAAATGTACATAAAGAAACAAGTTTCATTTCTAGCAAAATATCAACAACACCTGAAAGTATGCAAAGAAAATAAAAAATCCTCCAATTTACATAAACAATTTAGTCAGAATTAAAAAGGGGTTTAATTAAAATCAGATCCTGGGTGAATTCAGACTACAGCAAAGTTATTTTAATTAAACGGGACAGGTCTTGCCCGGAGGGAGTTGCATAAGAGACACCGAGTGAGTTTTATAACCAGGCAGGTCAGATTTTTCCTAAAGGAGCTGCAAATCATGTCTGGCTATTTAATACACTGTTCTGGTTGAAAGAATGTCTATTTTTAGAAGTCTGCAGTCACAATAACAAAGACTGGAAAGAATGACAGACTAGCCTTAAGTGACTCGTCCTCACCATCTTCCACCGGTGGCTCCGCAATTATCTTCTACTTTAGGAACGTTTTTTATAATAAGCTAAGATGGCTTATCATTTAAGAAGACATTCCATATATAGTGACAGTCGGATTGCTATTATATCCTGGTTAAATGGCATGATAGATTTATTAGAGCTAATTCTTTATTCGTTTAACCTTTGAAAAAAGGGAACAGTAGGCTGTCGTTAAATGTTAATAGAAAAGATGCACAACTCACACACTGGGCATTCAAATGAGTCAGTAAATACCATTAAAAAAATAATAAAAACAGAGTTGCATCCAGTATATATAAAAGTTTTAAAGTGAGAAAAAAAAAACAAAACAAAAAAACACCTGTATTAGACAAGGTCCAGGGAAGGATGTCAGGAGTTCTGATGAAGGAGAAGTGGCCTAATCCCAGAGAAAGAGATGCAATGAGGAGAAAGTTGTAGAAAGTTAAACAAACAGATATTTGGAGAAAAGATTACAGACGTGGTGCTCATGTCTGAGGATGGTTCCTACACGCTGAATTCCAAATTTAAGACCTTTCAATTTCCAAAACGTTACAATTATTTTTCAACCACTTTGGTTTAAATATATAATGGCAGTTTTTCTCCCTTTTCTGGCTTATAAAATGTATGAATTTCAATACAAACAAAATATGTATTTCTATGTAAAAATTTGATGCCTGCTGCATGAATATTCTCTCTTTCTGTTTGCATCTTTCATGCAATCAAGAGTCCTATATGCTCCCAGAGCCTGTTAGGTTCTTTTCAGAGACCTACATTCTTATATTCTGCAAAATTGGAGACTCTAATAATTAAATAAATGTCTGTAATGTTTCAGTGTGTAGGAACCCTGTTAAAATGAGCTTACATGCCAGATGAATTGTAAGAACAGTCAGAGACAATGAGTCCAGAAAGTGTTTCACTTTTACCAGTAAATAACCATGCTCATGCTCCATTCCCATGAGTTGACATTATTAGGCCACCAACAATCAACCAAATAGATGAGAGTTTCAGTGGAACTTACCGGCATCCTGGAGAGAGGGGTTTTGGATGGAGTAGTCTGGCCCATAGAAGAGGCAGGGATGACTATGAAGATTTAAATCAGAGACTTCATAAAATACACTGAACCACTTAAAATATAACTTCAGAAACATGTTCAGTTACATACTGGATGGTGCAGGCGTGGCTGTGGGTGTCCCTGAGCCTTGCAGGGGTGCAGGTGATCCCAAAGAGCCCAGTGCCAAGCTGGAGGGGGGCAGAGGTGGACTGACTGGCTGGTTGGAGCCAGCTGTTACAGATGTGGTGGAGGTAGAGCCGGTGCCACCGGGGGACGAGGTACCTGTCACGGCAGCTCCAGAGGCGGGGTCAATAGCTAAATCGCCCTGTGTGGATGGAACCCCCGCGCCGAGGTCCATGAAGAGGGAGCGCAGCTTTTTGTCCAGAGCTTGAATGTCGTCTGGTTTGCCGACGGAGTCCGAAGAGGCTTCAGTCCTGAGAGAGAACATTTTGTATAGTAACTGATGTCAGATGGATGGATGCTAATTCCTCCCACCTATAGCCAATGATTGGATCTAATCTGGTCTAACAGAACCGTAATCTCTCACCTGGTGTCACACTCTCCACAGTGTGTGTGGGTCTGCCCTGGCAAGGCTGTGGTCTGTGGCTGTGAGTGGACCAAAGTGGGCTGGACTGGGGGGACGTTTGTGGTCACCGGCTGGAGTCCCACAGAGGGGGCAAAGCCAGCTGTTGGAACTGCTGGGGTGGTGGAAGATGGACAAAGCTGTGGACCCAGAATGGCAGTGGTGGGGATAATGGAGGATATGGAGGTGGATGATGTGAGGGAGGATGTGGGAGAGACTGATGGATGGGCAGATGAGATCTCAATGGATGTGCGGAGAGAGGAGGGAGGCGAGGATACAAATGGGACAGCCTGGCCTGGAGCAGAGGAGGTGAGCCCTGTGTGGGGGATGCTGGAGATGGTGGCTGCTGGTAGAGAGGAAGGCAGGGAAGCAAGGGGAAGAGTTTGGGGCTGAATATAAGCCTGAGTTTGGGTCTGTGGTAGAGATACGGCCTGCATCACGGGCTGAGGCTGAAGAGGGGTCTGACTTATCATGGTGGGGGGAGGAGATGAAGAAAAGGGAGAACTGAAGGAGGTGGGGGGCGCAGAGGACGGGGTGGAGGATGAGGAAAGGGAGGGATTAGGAGGAGGAGAGGCTTCCATGGGCTGCTCAACTTGATGTTGACCCGGATCCACAGTGGGAGTGACGATGCTGCTGTGTGCAGAGGCCGACACTGCTGCCGGCTGCAGGGGAGGATGGCTGGAGTGCATGGAGGCCGGAGCCGTGCTTGGACCTGGATCAAACTGGTTTTTGTTCTGCCTCAGCTCAGAGAAGGCTTGCTGTAACGTAACTGCTCCTGCAGAATGGGAGAATCCCACCATTTGGCCTGGAGTATGAGATGGAGCTAAAGGACAGAAAAAAAGACACTTTTAGTGCAAAAAAAAAAAAAAAAAAAGGTTTAAAGAGAAACTCATCCTGGATGAACTTCCATTAGGTCTATTTACCAGTGTCAGCAGGAGTTGGAGGAGCAGGAGAAGGCGAGGGGGGCAGTGTTTGCTCCTTCAGTCTGCCTTCTGGTACAGGACAAACAATGAATCTCCGTCCTGCTGAATGGACCACCTGTGCAGCTGCACTGGGAGCGATGTCTAAAACAAATATAATCAAAGTTTCTCTTTATATGACAGAAAAAACAAAGCAAAACCTGAAATATTCTATTCTCATTCATATTCTGGTAAAAAATGAGTTTTATGTACAAAGTTGTTCCTACCTGGCATGGGGCTACTTATCGCAGGAGTCTGCTCTTCTTTGCCGCACATCAACTACAAATGGACAAGTAAACATCATCTCAGAAAACAAGCTGGTCTTTAACTGCATGTTTACAAAATCTGTCCTTAAAAAATTCAAAACATACAGAAGAATCAAAAGCCCCATCTGTTTCATTCACTAGAGTGTTATAAAGAGGGCTGTGGTTCTCATGAAGATCATCAAAACAGGTTCAAGAACATAAAAATACAAAAAGCTGTTTTCCACCACCTCCATCTTTATTAAATCTGCTTTTCTTTTAAATCTTTTATCTACATTCTAATTGTTTAATAATCTTGTATGAGGAGGCAGAAAGAGAAAGTATTGGTGGGTCAGTTCTTCTTCTGTGGACATGTACAGACCATGAGCAGATCGTGGAGCAAAAATATGATCTCAAAGGGGTGAATTAAGATGATTAAAGATCATGATTCATTTCCCTACCTGGCTGCTTGTGTCTCTTTCCAAACCCTTCTGATCAGCGTTCTTGATTACCTCTCTGACCTGCTCAATGAATGATTCTCGCTCACTCTCCAGGATAAACTCACTCTGAATCTGAAAAAACAAACAAAAACAAAATAAAAAAAAACAGCAATAAACATTTTGATCTTTTCAAGTTAAAGGCCTGTTCCCTCTGCCTGCTAAACAACAATGTTACAAGGATTGAGGTTCAGTAGCTGCAGGCACTTTTAATCAGAAAACAATAACGGTTTGTTGAATGTCAGCACTTAATGAATTCTGCATTTTACAAAATCAAGAATGAAAAATAAAACCAGATTTCTTTTAAAAATCATCTAAAGATGATGAAACAGAGAAGCTGCAGTCAGCGGTGTGACGTTATCTGTACCATGATCTGGGCGATCTCCTCGGGGTTGTCTCCATCTAGATCAAACCGAAACGTCACCATCTTCCTGTTGTGAGTCTCCAGCTGACACTCTGCCACCCTGTCCCCTCGGTTGGAGATCTGTATTCATTCACACCCATTCATATGCAGGAAAGGGACAAGTGCTTGGAATTAGCTGTGCGGTTGCACCATGATGCAAACATGGGACGACTCATGTTTTGTTGAGTTTGTCTGTCCATATCAAATAAACTTAAAAAACAAACTTTAAGCTTAAGAGCAAACAAAAAAAAATAAATACTCAGAAGCTGAATGACCTCTGACCACCATCTAACTTAAATTTAAATCAAATGTAATTCCAAGAATTACAAAGAAAAGAGATCTGGAGAAGATTAGTTACACTAAGAACATGAAGTTTCCCCTTGGACATCTTTTCATGGCGCGACCGGCTTCGGACTGAACGCTTCTGTTGTCGTTTGGTGGAGCGTCCCTCATGGCGACCACAGCCTCCTTCGTTTCCATCACTCAGGCCCGAAGTCTCAGAGTGGCCGCTGAGGGAGAGGAGAAGACGAAAACTGTCAGAAAGGTTGCTTTTTTTGAGTGTGACTGTTGAGCTATTGGTATGCACATGTTACCTCTCTATAGATGATAGAGCTTGAGGTGGTTGTAGTTGTCCTTGTGACAGCTCTGACGCCTGCGAAGCCGACTGCAACACACACAACCAAACATGTTAAAGCATGAAGTATCATCTCACTCACACCAGGATAACTAGGGGGGGCCGAAAGGAAAAACCTTTTCTAGCAAGAAAACAACAACAAAATAGCCATATTTATATCACTTCATTTTTTTTTTAAAGCAGAATTTAAATCTGTAAAATCTATGGCTAATCAAAGAGTATGCATGAAAAAATTTTTTAAATCTGAAAAAAAAAAAAAAAAAAAAAAAAAAACAAAGACCATAAAACTTTGCTTAAAAGCAAAGGGTGAACTGCTTCAGCAGGATACGTACCGAGAACCATTCAAACAGCAGCCTCCTTTAAGAAGTCCAAAACTGATGACCTAGTATAAAACCTCTCTCTCTAGACAAATCTAGCAGAGATTAATATAAGATAGCAACAGTTTGCAGAATAGCAATGACTGACTGTGGCTGTAGCAGATTTTGGTTTTATTTCTGCTAAAGACATCAACACCTCGTATGTGAACCAGCAACATCAGCAGAGTGATTCCCTAATCTACTGTAAATGCCTCTTATGATATAAGAGCTAAATATTTTTCACTCTTTTGGATAAACTTTACGATTAACAAATATTTGCAACATAACTATTATGAATTCCTCACTTCAGATATGTGCAGTTCAGAATTGTAAAAACACTAATCCTAAATCAATAACAGATTATAAAACATGGGATATAAAAAGATAAATTTTGTGTAAAAAAAAAAATAAAAACACCCCAAAAAAATCCTTTGAAATTTAGCCCTGAATTATACATTTTAGTCTTGCTTTGCTGGGTTCAAGTTCCCTTTACCACCCCCTTTTTAGCAGCTTAAACACTCCAATCTGTCTCCTTGAATCACCTTTAATAGTTACTTATATCTAACCCTTACCAAGGTTGGCAGATCAGATGCTTCTGAAAATCTCTGAGGCACACCAAGAGTTTTTGCAGGAGAATCAATTCATCTACAGATCAGGTAGGCTCATACTAGCCCTCTGTAAATCTTGTTAAGAAGCTCTCTCTCACTTTAAAACAAGAGTGAGGCATTTTGTTTGATCAAAGTTT